ATGGCCCCGGCTCCGCCCCGGCCGCGGCCCGAGTCCCCCGCCCCCGTCGCCCGCCGCCCGGCCGCCGCTCCCAGCCTCCCGCAGCGGCTTCCGCTCCCCGCACCGGAAGCGCGCTCCCGAACGCCGGGGGCCGGCGCCGCAGGGGCGGGGTCGGAAGTGACGACAGAAGCCGGGGGCGGAGACTTAAGATGGCGGCTATGGCGCTGGCCGCGGCGCGGCGGCTGCTGCTGGTGCGCGGCTCGGGCTCGTGGCGCCGCTCGCGGCTGAGGTGAGCCGGGGACGCGCCGGGGGTCAGCGGGGGACCCGGGGCGGCTCGCGTCTGTCCGGACGCTCTGCCTCTGGCTTCCCCACGCCCAGGCGCCGCGCCGGGGGTTCGGGCTCGGGCTTCGGGACCCTGGCTTCGTCTCCGAGGGCCCTTCCCTGCCTGGCGCCCCAGCTCCTGGCCCCGAGACCCATCCGCCTGCTCTCTCCCGGGCCGCTGGGTCCTCTCCCGCCTTCTCCCGGGCCGACGGGGCCTGTCGGAGGCCACGTGTCATCTCCGCCCCGGCCCCCGTCCTGTCGCGGGGGGGGGGCCCCCCTTGTGAGGCCGAGCCCGCGGGGCCTCCGTGCCCCAGACCGCTGTGCTGTGTCCCCTCGCCTGCAGACAGCGCGCTTTTTCCGTCCCCGCAGCCTTCCCGCCGTCCTGGCCGCCAGCACGTCCACTCGGGCCACAGTCGGTGGCGGCCCCTGGCTGTACGCCGCACCGTGCCGGGCGGAGATAGCGGGCGCAGGCAGGAGCGCGGGCCGCGTAGGAGCCGCGGTGTGAACGCTTAAAAGAAGTCAAGCAGTGGGATCTGACTTCCCGTAGAGTGCGGAGGGGTCGCCTTGGGAGGACGCGGCATTGAAGCCAAGAGGGGAGGCACGGGAGGAGGGTCAGGCCCCGGCCAGGCGGGAGCAGGAGGAACAGAGGCGTTGGGGTTAAGGAGCCAGGTGTGTGTGCGCTCAGGGCAGCACCCGCAGGCCAGTGTGACTGGGTCCTGGGGGGCGGTGGTGGAGAGGGCTTTAAGAGAGGAGTTTGGAGAGAGTTGGAGTCCAGACCACCTGGGGCCCCATGGCAGGGGTTGGGGGTGGCTTCTATTTAGACTACGGTGGGACAGTTGAGGGCCAGAGCGGAGCTCGGTGCTGTAAGAGAGATTTAACCCGGGCCGTCAGGGTGAGGTGCGGTGGTTAATCGTCTGCTCCGTAAGAGATGTTTATAAGAGAGAGCGGTTACGGCCCAAAGAACTGACCAACTGTCCACGGCCCCCTGGGCTGAGCCAGGATTTGTCCCCAGCAGTGGTGTTCCTGCCTGCTCCCGCGTGTCGTCTCTAAGTGCTCACGTAGACGGGACGCGAGGGCCGGTCACCACGGGCTCCGCGGTCTCAGGTCTGTAACTGGCCACTCTCTCTTTGTAGGTCCGGAGTTCCCGCACACAGATGCTTCAGTAGTGGCGGGGCCTACCCCGGCACCCCGCTCTCCTCCCCCTTCCCTGGCGTGCCGCAGCCTGTTTTCGCTACGGCTGGTGGACAGGAAAAGTTTGAAACCAAAGTGACCACGCTGGATAACGGGCTTCGCGTGGCGTCCCAGAACAAGTTCGGACAGTTTTGTACGGTGGGAAGTAAGTACTGTCGGTAGTGTCGTGGGTGCTTCACTGGCCGCTGTGCTTGGTTCGGGGTTCGTGCGCTGGATCCGGAGGGGAAAGTACGCTCTAGAATCTGGAAACCGAGTACTCTGAGCGTGAGCCGCCATGTCGGTGCTGGGCTTTCCCCTTTGTACCTTGCAAGAACTCTAAACCGTCTCCACCACCAATACCAAGCGTATGACTCCGTGAGCATCAGCACGTGTGCAGCTGTGGGTACGTAGCCCGGGGAGTGGACACGCTGTCGCCTTCACATGGTGGCGCCGGCCTGTTTGATCACGCTCAGTTGTAAAGGTTTCTCTTGATCGAATCCTCCCCTTCTCGGCATTTGAGTTAACTTGTCATTTTTCTTTTTGTTGCCAGTTCTTATTAATTCAGGATCAAGATACGAAGCCAAATATCTTAGTGGAATTGCTCACTTTTTGGAAAAATTGGCATTTTCGGTCAGTGTACGATTTGTAATTTTTGAGACTTTGTTTGGGAAGGATCTACCACGTTTTGGTTTTTTTTAGAACGGTTATTTTAACAAGTGACTGAGTTGATAAGGCGTTGCTGCTAAAAGATGTTTAGATTGGAAGACGATTCGGTTTCACGTTTTAAGAGCCAAAATAGGTTTTCTTTTCTAAAACCATATGTTAGAAGTTGCTTTAGATTTTCTTACTTCGGTTCACTTGTTTGTTTTCACTAGTCGACAGATCGATTTGACAGCAAAGATGAAATTCTGCTCACGTTGGAAAAGCACGGGGGTATCTGTGACTGCCAGACGTCAAGGTACGCCAGCTCATTTTGCAGCCACGAACTGTGGTGGTTATTCTCTGTCAGAGTCCCACTGAAACCCACCTCCTGGAGAAGCTGGGGACGTTGGCGTTGAGAAGGAGCCTGGCCTGGGCAGGGTTGGGTGAGGGATTTGGTGGAGGAAGGACACAGGCGGCAACACTTACAGCAGAGAGCACACTGGAGAGCCAGGCGGTCCCCGGAGGTTGCTGGCTGGGCCCTGGGGACACAGAGCAGGCCCCATCCCCAGTGTGCTCCCAGAGCCACCAGAGGGCTGCACCACAGGTAATGGAAGCGAGAGCCAGGAACCAAGACTAGAGGTGGGGGCGTGGGGACAAGCAGGTGACCTGGTCTGGAGTCCGGAAAGGAACGATAGCAAACTTGACATTGGCTGGTCTTGAAAGAGTTTGCCAGACTGAACGAGGGGTGGAGGTGGCCCAGACTCTGGGAACAGCAGGGGGAGAGGCTCAGCCCGGAAGAGGCAGCGGTCTTTTGGGGGACCGGGAGAGGTCTGGTGTGTAGCCAGCACGCGGATGGGGTGCAGGGGCTGTGGACGAGGGCAGGCGGAGTTGGTCTGCCAGACGTGGCTCTGGTCCCCAGCTGCGTAAGGCTGTGCGTCCCCCATGCTGACCCGTCGGTCCGGGCGGCAGACCCTCAGGAAGCGCGTGACGAAGCGCACCCCTGTGGTGCAGGTGGTGGGGAGCCCGTGCTCGTGAAAAGGTCTGAGAACTGGTCCTCGTCCGTCCGGGCTGGGCAGCCGCTTTCGCTCCAACACGTGTGGGAAGTTGCGCTGGAAGATGGGGCGTACTGAGTGTGGTGCTGGTCCTCGGTGCCAGTGGGGAATGGCCCCCGTTTGGTGTGCACCTGTCACGACCCTGACACCTGGTGTCGTTTCTTCTTTCCAGGGACACTACCATGTACGCCGTGTCCGCGGATTCCAAGGGCCTGGACACGGTGGTTGGTTTGCTGGCTGACGTGGTCCTGCACCCCAGGCTCACAGGTGTGCCCTGGGCTGTGTGCGGTGTCTAGGGGGTTGGACGCGGAGGGGGGCAGGCGGAAGCCCGGCCCCCGAGGAAGAGCACCGTGGTGCCCCCGTGGGCTCAGCTACCAGTGGGTTGTCACGATTTCCTAGGAAGTGACGCCGGTGGTCAGGGAGGTTCTTCGCGTCTAACACTTTGACACCCCTTTATGCCTTTTGACGTTTTTAGCGAAGTTGGATTTTTAATTTCTTTTTTTTTCTTAAGTTTTTATCGATTTACTCGTTTAAGTAACTTTTACGCCCAGCGTGGGGCTGAGACTCTCGACGCCGTGATCAAGAGTCGCATGCCCCTCTGATGGAGCCAGCGGGGCACCCCTGGGTCTTTCGTTTCTCAAAGGCATTTCAGACAGTCTTTGAAAACTCTGGCTGGTATGCTGCCGGAAGTTTCCACGTCCTGGTCTCCATCCCCTTCCTTGGCCTGGTAGTAACCAGACTCTGATTCCGGCCCTGAAGGGGACTAGAGTGGGCCGTGCTGACCATTCCAGCTGCCCTGGCTGGGCTCTGGTCACATCGGCCTGGCCTCGTGGTCCAGGACTGCAGTGCTGAGTTAAGAACTTTCCGGTACTTGCTCCAGCTAGCTGATGAAACAGCAGCCACGATGTAGGCCCGTGCCTCTTTTTCCAGTGCCTTCACATCCAGCGCAGCTTCACCCTCACGGCAGCCCTTTGGGACGGAGCGGTTAGGGGCCTGAGGGCCTCTCATGGGGAGGAAGCTGGGGCCCAGAGCAGGCCCGGGTGACCACCTCGTGGCCGAGCCTGGCGAGGCCCGACGCCTCTAGGCCCTGCCCGCCCGGCGCCGTCCCCCTCACTCCCACCGCTGCCCCCCCCAGTCTGCCCCAGGTGAAGGCAGAGGAGGTTGCCAGCATGTCTTTCGGCCAGTCTGGTGGCACAGGCCCAGGGCCATCTCCCTCCTGGCTGGTGCGGTCTGAGCCTCGCCTGGGTGCTTTGCAGATGAGGAAATCGAGATGGCACGGATGGCTGTCCAGTTTGAGCTGGAGGACCTCAATATGCGGCCTGACCCAGAACCGCTTCTCACAGAGATGATTCACGAGGTGAGATACAAAACTCGCAACGTGCCCTCCTCCGTATCAGTGGCCCTCCTGCCACCAGGGCGGTTGGGAGGGGCCGTCTGCCTTCCTGAGGTCATTCCTACAGGCTCTAGGTGTGGTCAGAACACTCTTAATTCCCAAACCTGCCACTCATGCGAGTTTTTCATTTTGTAAATTTTTTTTTTTTTTTTTTAGCATTTTATCCCTTGTTTTTGAGAAAGTGTGAGCGGGGAAGGGGCAGAGAGGGAGAGAGAGAATCCCAAGCTAGCTCCGTGCTGTCAGCGCAGAGCCTGATGTGGGGCTCGATCCCACGAACTGCGAGATCATGACCTGAGCCGAAATTGGACGCTCAAGCAGCTGAGCCACCCAGGCGCCCCTCGTTTTGTAATTCCTACAGTAACAAGATTTTTATCGCTCTGTTTCTAGAGCGAGGCTTTTATTTCATACGGGTTTTTTGAGTTTTCATCCCGGAGAGGTAGATTTTGTGTTTTTTAGAAACACACAGAGTTATTCCTGCCAAACTAAGCAAAGCACCCACAGGCTCTTCCTGCCACAGCTGGGGTCACGGCAGGCCCAGCGCAAGGGGGGGACACCTGGCCGTGGCCTTCTTGGTCACCTGTGTTTCTCCCCTCCTTTGTTAGGCTGCTTATCGGGAAAACACAGTTGGCCTCCACCGTTTCTGCCCCACAGAAAACATAGCAAAGATGGACCGAGAAGTGCTTCACTCCTACCTGAGAAACTATTACACCCCTGACCGCATGGTGCTGGCTGGGGTTGGGGTGGAGCACGAGCACCTGGTGGAATGTGCCAGAAAGTACCTGCTGGGAACCCAGCCGGCCTGGGGATGTGAGAAGGCTGTGGACGTTGACAGATCGGTGGCACAGTACACGGGGGGGGTTGTCAAGGTAAAGCCGTGATGGAAAAGAGCCCGTGACCTTGGGTCGTGTATGCCTTTTTTGACTTGGGTTTTGGCACGTTGTCGGCTGGAGCCTGTGGGTGTTACAGTCAGCCGTAAGCCCGTGGCTTTGCCTTTAATACGGATTCTGGGGCCTGAGCGTGACGTGTGTTCCTTGGTTAAAGCTGAGAGTTTGGTACAAACGGGAGGCGAAGGATAGTTCTTGTCTCTAGAGAGTTTTCTGGTGCTCGTGTGGGATTTCTGTGACTGTTTTTAAGCCGCTCCGGCCTGGGGTGGCTGAGGCCTCCTTGTTTTCCACGTGGGTACGCTGCTCACCCTTCTTGGTTACAGCTGGAGAGAGATATGTCCAACGTCAGTCTGGGCCCTGCCCCGTTCCCCGAGCTCACGCACATCATGATAGGACTGGAGAGCTGTTCCTTCTTGGTAAGTGCCAGCGGGGGCCTGTGCGGCGTGGAGTTGGGCGTCCCCTCGCGGCTGAGCTCGGCCCTCACGTCTCTCGCAGGAGGACGATTTCATCCCCTTCGCCGTGCTGAACATGATGATGGGGGGCGGAGGCTCCTTTTCGGCTGGCGGGCCCGGCAAGGGTATGTTTACCAGGCTCTACCTCCACGTGCTCAACAGGTGGGTTGGGTCCCTTTCACCTGGCTGTCCCCAAGGTTGGCAGGCCCAGCTGAGGGTGCTTCTGGACCGTGACACCGCCTTCCAGGTGTCCCCTCGTCCGTGCTCCTTACAGGCACCACTGGATGTACAACGCAACCTCGTACCACCACAGCTACGAGGACACGGGCCTCCTGTGCGTCCACGCCAGCGCCGACCCCAGACAGGTGAGAGCCAGCCCCGAACGCGGTGGCCTCTGCTTCCTGTGCAGGTCACATCCCCGCATACAGAGCTGGTCTCTGGAAGCACAGATGTCACCACCTGAGTTAGAAGAAACGGGCTGTCACGTCCTGATCACGCTCTTCTTCGTGTCCACGCTCTCTCTTAAAGGTTCGAGAAATGGTGGAGATCATCACGAAGGAGTTCATTTTAATGGCTGGAACCGTGGATGTGGTAAGTGTGGCACAGAGCCCCCTGCAAACGTCCCCGCGGTGTTGGCGGGTTAGAGAACACAGTGTGGGTTGGCTGGGCCCATCCTCTGTGCCCCCAACATCCCAGCCAGAGCAGTGCAGACCCCCGGAGTGAGCCAGGTCTGCAGCTGAGCTCCTCCCCTCCTCCCTGGTCTCAGCGCACAGAACAGCCACTGCCCTCAGCACCCAGTCTGTTTGCATCTGACGGGCCCCGGTCCTTTTTAAGCTCTACCGGAAAGAATAGCACAGAGCAGTCTTTTCCTTTTAACGTTTATTCATCTTGAGGGAGAAAGCGTGCAAGATGGGAGGGGCAGAGAGGGAGAGAGAGAATCCCAAGCAGGATCCACGCTGTTAGCATGGGGCCCAACACAGGGCTTAAACTCACGAACCGCGAGATCACAACCTGAGCCAAAACCAAGAGTCAGACGCTTAACTGATGGAGGCTCCCAGGTGCTCCAGGAAAAGGAATATTATTTTAAAAATAATACATTGGGATGCCTGGGTGGCTCAATTGGTTGAGCTCTGACTTCGGCTCCGGTCATGCCCTCAGGCTCGTGGGTTCAAGCCCCACATCGGGCTCTGTGCTGACAGCTCAGAACCTGCTTAGGATTTTCTCTCTCCCTCAGCCTCTGGCCCTCCCTGGCTTATTCTCTCTCTCTTTCAAAAATAAATACATAAAAAAATAAAATAAAAATAGGGGTGCCTATGTGGCTCAGTCGGCTAAGCATCCGACTTTGGCTCAGGATTATTTTCCTCCAGCAACGATGCGGACTCTCAGCGGCCAGTGTCGTCCGGCAGGCGTGCACGCCGTTCGGCGTCCGGCAGCTTCGTGTCGGTCGGGTGCCGTCTCTCACCCGGCCGCTCTCCGTGCCCCCCGTTTCTGAACGCAACTCGTGGGAGCCCCATAGTTGCAAATTTCATGCCTGGTCAGAGAGGCTCACGGCACAGACTTGGCACACGGAGCTGGTTCCCTCCGAGTTCCTCGGGGAGCGTGGGGAGCCCGGTTGCCTGGGCCCTGCACCTGGCGTCTGGGTGGAGCCCCAGACTGTCGAATCTGTCTTCCTGGTGACGTGGACGTGGCTGGGCAACAGCGTGTGAGTTGCCGGGAACCGAACCGTGTGGCTTGGTGGTCGGACCCCCAGGTGGAGCTGGAGCGGGCCAAGACCCAGCTGATGTCCATGCTCATGATGAACCTGGAGTCCAGGCCTGTGATCTTCGAGGACGTGGGGAGGCAGGTGCTGGCGACCCATTCCAGAAAGCTGCCCCGTGAGCTGTGCGCGCTCATCCGTGAGTACCGTGCTGGTGGGTGGGCCCAGACCCGGCTCCCTCCCTCCCCTCCCAGAGGCCGGCCAGCCGGAGGGGGTGTGATGCCTGCGGGCTTTCGTCTGTGCCAGCCCTATTCGTGTCCCCGAGTGCTGACCCCTGTGCCCCCAAGTTTTCACCATTTTCCCTACCGCTCTGGGTTTTTAAGCGGATTCGCTGAGATAATGGACGGAAATGCTCTGCTTGGGGCTCGAACGGTGTTGCCCTTCATGGTGTTGTGGCAGGTGTCTTGGCCGCAGGTTTCCATGGCCTCCCGTGAGTGACCTTCAGGAAGTCCTGGAATTTCCTCTAAGTGTCAGAGTGTTACTGTTTGTGGCCCTTTGGGGGACAAGCTTATTTTCTCTGTAGCAGGTCCTCAGAGTATCGTGGGGGGGGGGGCCCCCCCCCCCCGTGCCGTCCTGTGGTGACGTTTGTTACCTCGCTGCTCTGGCACTCGCACCCTCCCTGGGGGCCCCCTCAGACCCTGGGGCGCGCAGTACCCAGTCTCCCCTAGGCCTCATCCTCTGGAGCAAAGTCCAGCTGCCCATGCCGGGTGTTCCCAGGCAGGCTGAGCTTCTGGGCCTCAGAAGGTGGGCCCGTGTGTGTGGCCGCTCCCCTCCCCCCCCCAAGCCCTAGGGATTCTTTGTTTTTTCCTTCCCTGCAGGCTCTCCGTGTGGGTAACTCTGCAGGTGAGCTTTTCCATTGAGATGCATCTGGGCAGGTGTGCATTCCCGTATTTGAAAATAACTCATAACCACTGGTACATCCCCATTTACTGGGAAGATTTGTCACTTCACCCTGAGTCACTCTGCATTCTACACACGCCTGAATCTGGACTCTCTGGAGTCCGCAGCCTGGCCTCGGACCCCTCAGTCAGGGTAGCAGCCACGGCCACGCGTGGAGACAGTCCGTGCAGGGCTCGGGCATTCCCCTGAGGTCTCCCTGTCCCCCGTGCTAGGCAGCGTGAAGCCAGAAGACATCCGGAGAGTTGCCTCCCAGATGCTCCGCAGGAAGCCCGCGGTGGCCGCCCTGGGCGACCTGAGCAACCTGCCGGCCTACGAGCACATCCAGGCGGCGCTGGCCAGCGGGGACGGGCGCCTGCCCAGGACGTACCGGCTGTTCCGCTAGAGGCCGTCGCGGTGTGGCCCGACGTGGGCTGTGGACGGAGCCCGTGTTCGTCCGTGGGTTTTGGGTGTGAATTTAGTGCAAAGATTCATAAAAGGTGCAAACCGGGGGACTCTTCTCTTAAACTCGATCAGATTTAATGTCACCGAGCACAGCTCTGCGTCCGTTTCTTCAGGACGGGTAGATCAGGCAGCGGAATAAAGGTGTGTCTGTGTCGCTGCGGCTGGGAACCAGGCGAAGGGAAAGACCGCCGGGGGCCAGCTGCCGCGGGGAGGCCAGGTGGGCGCCCTGCCCCGTCCCGCGTTCCCAGAGGCGAGCGGCCTCGAGTCCGCGTCAGAGCGACTCCGGGGTCTGCCAAGGGGCGTGCTCCTCGGCGCGGCGCTTTCCTTCACCCTCGGTAAGGATGGGGTGGCGGTAAGCATGGGGTGGCGAGAGGCCGGGCTCAACCGGCGGCGTCCGGTAACCGGAAGAGCGTCCTGATTCCCGACGGCACGGCATGAGTGTCGGCGCCCTGGAGGGAGGTGGGGTTTCCTCGCATCGCCGGCCCGTGTGAAGAGCCAGAGCCGCGAGGCCGGGGAGCGTTCGGTTCCGCGGATGCGCGTGGCCGCGTCCAGAGTCGCCCGGCCAGGTGACCCTGGTGATACAGGGTGGCGTTGTGCTTCCCCGACGGGTACGCACACGGAGCCCCTGGGCCCCTTGGGGCACCGCCCTCCCAGCCTCTGGGGCACAGAGGGGAGGGAGGGACGCTTCCAGGAAATCAACCGTCAAACGTTCTTTGGTCATTTAACCTGCTTATTTTTGCTGGAGCCCATCCTCCGCTTTTGATGCCTTCCCTGCGCACTTAGCGGCATCAGGGAGGGTGTGTTTATCCGCTGGGGTGGAGCCCGGGGGGTGGGGGTGGGGGGCCGCGCCCGGTGTGCCGAGGTCCTTGCCTTGCAGACATTCCTGTGGTTACCACCCTGAAGGGGAAGCACAGGGGGGCAGGGGTGGCGGGCGAGGTCAGCCGGGCTTAGCTGGGGGTAGGGCTCACCGAGAGCCCTCAAGGGGCCGGCCGGAGCCCCCACGGGCCGCACTCAGCCTCCAACCACAGACCGCTGTGCCCAGACCCAGGGGTCTGCTCGGATGCTGGCGCCAACCGCCCCTCGCCCCCGAGGGCTCCTTGGCACCGCGCAGCCGCAGCCCGTCCTCTGGCCCGCGCCAGCAGAGCGCGTGTGGGTCAGACAAACTATCCTCACACCGGATTTCTCAATTCTATCTGAAGCTTGCTTTGCAGAGACTGGCCCGTGTCATTTGAATCTATCTGAATTTTAACCTGGCTCCCAAGTGAAACCCGAGCACCTAAACTCTCCCGGCTGCTCCTAAGTGAATGTCCTGACTTGGGACCCGGACGTTTGCCGACATCCATCATATCGGTCGGAGACGACGCCTGAGATGATGTGTCTGTCACACTTGCCTCATTTTCAGGACCCCTCACCGCAAAAATCTGTCGGAGGTTTTCAGTTTATTGACTCAGAACTCAACGGCACATTTCTTTGAGCAAAATTTTATCGACAGTGAGGTTTTGTTAAGTCAGATAGGGTGGACGGGCCTCCTCGGTAACCAGAAGTGGGTGTCCCGCACGACGAGTCTGGAAGCCGGTGCTAATAAAGCTGATACACTCTACTTTGGAAGTGGCTTCGCTTCATCGTGGTTCACGCAGGGCTGAGGTGTTCCTTTCTCCCAGAAAAGCCCCTTTCCAGCCAGCCCGTCTGATGGGGCGGCAGCCGGGGTGGGGGGCAGAGGGCAGAGGGAAGCGGGTGATGCCGGTACAGCCACAGTCGACACCGAACTTCCTGCCTTTGAACTGGACTTGAAACCTTGTTTTCTGGGAATGTCGTAAGCATGGGGTGTGAGCACATGGAGGATCTCTTTCTAGGACTCAATCTTTGGCCAGAAAGAGTTTCAGATTTAATATATGGATTTATTTAAAAATATAAATACGGAAAAATAAATAACTTTAAAGACTAGAGTGAATGCCCCTAGGTTTTCCCACAGTCAAAGCCTATGGTTTTTAAGAGTGATCATGGGCGACACTGGGCTCTGAGCCCTCTAACACAGGCGGGAACATGGAAGGGGGCCGGCCCGGGCTGGCAAGGTGGTGGCACCCTAAACTTCCAGTTTCTCAGGCCAGGGGACGCACTACTTACGTCAATGCTGTTTGTAGCCGGCAATACGAAAGCAAATGCTCTCAAGTCACCAGAAACCAGGAGAGGAGAGGGAGATGGTTTCGTGGCTGGAAGGGCGAGGCCAGCTGCCTGAGGTCAGAGGCGACCCCCAACAGGCCAGGCCGCCTCGTCCCTCGCTGGCCTGTTGCAGCAGGACCGGCGTTCTCCCTGGAAGTCAGCTGGCGTTGACCTGACCGGCCAGGCCTGGGCTCGGTCCTCGTGCGCACTGGTGGGACCGAAGCTCCCACCTGCCTGACCCAGAGTGCTCCCCCCGATTCGCTAACGGGCCCCCTGGACTCAGATGGGGAAGGCACCTCCTGGTCTGCATTTGAGGGGCTGCTGGAGCGCTGCCAACGTCGGCTCTGGGCGAGCGGACAAGGACACCGGAAGGGCGTGTCTGTGCCAGCAGGCAGAACTGCCCGACCCACGCTGGCCTAAGGGACCGTGGGTGTGCTGTGGCCATCTGGGGGCCTGCGCTTGGGGACATGCTGTAAATGAGTGCAGCCGGCTTCGTGCCGGGCAGGGGACACGGGTGCCTCAGCACCGCCTCACTGGCCTCCTGTTAGGTTCTTGGTGACGAAGCGTGTTGGCCTCGAGAAACGGTTAGCCGGCGTCCCAGAAATCTTTCATTCCGCAGTCTCTTCCGACTTCTCCAGGGGGCTGTGGCCACGTGACCTCCCATGTTGTGGGTGCGAATGTCCTCGGGCAAGCCTCAAGAGACTGTACAGATTGTGCTGGAATGCTGATCCTTTGGTGCCTGCTGCTGCTGAATTTCTTTGGAAATGCGTCTTTTAATTCCTATCAAGTACAGTTCGCGGTCAAACTTGCCAGCAGCAAGGGGGATGCTGCGGAAGAAAGGGGCGTCGTCAGGAGGGCACTGGCCAGTAGCCTCCTGGGAGGCCGTCTCGGATGCCTGTCCCCTCTGGCCACCGGAGTGCAGCCGCCATGAACATGGAGCTCCCTCGGGCCCCTGCTGGGCCCTGCGGTGCATCAGGAAGAGACCCGCGGCCACCCTGACCGCGGCTGGAGGTCAGGACACGATGGGACGACGGCGGGCACCCAGGGGCGGGGATGCCGCCCCCACCCCCCGAGTGGGCAGGAGCCCCACCCACCCGCAGCCCCCAGGGCGAGGACACGTGAGCAGGGTACTGACTTGTCTCTCCCTGGCCTCACTTTCACCCGGAACAGACCGTACACGGGGCGGTGGTCGGAAGTCTTGATGCCAGGGCAGGAGGAATACTTGACCGGACAGATATCGCCCTTGTGGCGGCTCCTGTACACGACCCGATCCTGCAGAAAAGATCCCGCGTGAAGGTTAGCCCCGAGACTGCGTGGCTTTTTTGCAGGGCTTGGCCCACGTGCCCGTCTCCGTGTCCGATCCCACCCGCAGAGCCTGTTCCCAGAGCCCCTCGCCCAAGCCCGCTGCGCTGGCGGGTGTCTGGGCCCCAGACGGGGGGTGGGGGGGCTGGCAGTGCTGCAGCCGCGGAGGCCGAGCCTGGAGCCCCTGGGTCCGGTGCAGGCTGCTCCCTCCGCCCGTGCCGCAAATGGCTTGCATCTGCGACAGCACGGGGCGTGTACCCCAGCCCCGGGCCGACCGACTAGCCTTCAGAAGGGCCCTTCTCAGAGGGCGCTGCCCCCAGCGCCAGGTCCCAGAGATGCGGTCGCTGGCCCGGCACGGGTGCCGCATTGAGGCGTCTGACCGCAGCTCGTGGGGGCTGCTGTCACACCCGGCCTCAGTCCTTAGCCTGTGGTTCTGAAGCGCAAGCAGGCCCAAACCTGGGCCGCAGAGCTGGGCAGAGCCGCACCGGAGGTCAGGCGGGACACCAGGGGTGCTCACCGTGTAGGAGGGGGTCCTTTGCTTGGAGGTGGTGTCGTAGGAGTCCTTTCCAATGTCAAACTTGTATGAGGGGAGGAAATGGATGTCTGGCTCCTGGAAGCCTTTGAAGATGGACCCTGGAACAGCCACAGGCCCTGGCTCTCGTCAGCCCTGGCGGGCCGCACCCTCTCGGGGGCCGGGTGTCCGCGCCTTCCTCCCGGGGACCTCACCTTTCTTCATCTCCTGGGTGAGCTGGTCGTGCTGGAGCAGGGCAGATACCTTCTCCCCCAGGTCCTGCTTCAGGATGGCCTCCACGGCCACGCGCCCTCCGTTCAGACGGAAGTTGAAGTCTCCAAACCAGAACACCCCATCGAACCGGGTGGTGACGTCCGCTAGCCAAAACGGGAAAGTGCGTGAGCCCGGCCCTCCCTGTGCTGGCCTCCCTCTGGCGACAGTGACGGGTGTGGTCTCTGTCCCCGCTCCTGCAGCCACGGGCAGGGACACCCCAGACACGGCCCTGGCTGTGGGGGTTGTGCCCCGCAGCTTCTGGGCCGACATTCGGGTTCACGTTCACGGTTGCATCTTTCATTTCAAACAGCGACAGACTTCTGGGGTCAGCGTGGGCGCCCTCACGCTCACAGGAGCCCACACTGCTCACGCTCGCCACTCCGCCAGGGCTCCATCCCGGAGGGACAGACAGCCAGGGGGCAGGAGGAGGGCCTGTCGGCCCAGGGAGGCACGGCCACCACGGGGCTCCGCCTGGAAGCACAGCCGCACCAAACCGGTGGGTGGGTCACGGCTCAGGAGGAGCCCAGCGCCAGGCCTTGTGCAGAGCGCCGTTTCCGCGGGCTGCCGACTCTCTAGACTGTTTCAACCTCGATTCTCGGAAGCTCCCCAAGTTTACTTTGAGTCAACCGCCCAGAGAACAAGGTAGGAGCGCATCCACCCGGGCTCACCAGCATCAGAGCGGTAGGGGCTGGTGTCGGGCACGCTCCTGGGCAGCGCCAGGCCCTGGACGGTTCTGCTGTAGTCCAGCAGCCTCTCGCTCACCTTCCCGTCTCCGGCTGTAAGAACAGAGCGCGGGGGCCT